CGACAGTATTTCTAGAAATGAAAAATGTAGTCAGTGTAATTAAAAATTCACTAAATAGATTAAAAAGATTGAAGACAGCTGGAGAGAGAGTGGCCAATACGTATATTAAAATTCTTCATAATAAGATGTTGAGAAGAATCAGAGGGGAAACTACATATTCAGTAATGATGCTGAGAAAATGAAATATCCTTATAAGAATTAAATTCCTACTTCACATTTTAGAAAAAAAAATTAGAAAGTATATAGTATCTTTAAAAAAACAACTATTTTCTTAGATTAAGGAAGCATTTCTTAAATAAGAGCAGAGTAAAAGCTGTAAGACAGATTAGTAAGTTTTATTTCACTGAATTTAGGAAGAAATGTAAATAAAACACACCCGAAGCCAAGTGGAAAAGGCTGGAGAGATGAAAAGAGATTTACCATGCACATAACCCCGTGAGGTTAATCTCAAATATTTAAGAACTCATATATATCAATAAAAAGGATAAGTAGAAAAACATGCAAAAGCAGTTAATAGAAAAATCCACTATCAGAGAAGCTCAAACATCCCATAAACATATCAAAAGGTAAGTCATCTCAGGAGTAATGAACTAAAATAATAGTATTTCGCACACGTGGCTTGGCAAAACACCAAACAACTACGATAATCCTCCGACAAAATGGAAATTCTGATGTGATTCTGGTGGTCCGCCTGCCTTGAGGACCAGTGCGACAGTGACCAGCAACGCTGGCCGGAGCACCAAACCATCTAGAAATTCCATCTCTGAGGACCTCATTCCCGTGCACACGCGGCTCACCAGAGAAGTGCTTCGGGCTGCGAGTGTTCCAAACGACCTGCACCGGGGTCCCGGCGGGACTGGGCGGGGCCTCTGGGTGTGCTCGCACAACGGAACACTACACAGCGGTCAAAAAGGACGCCCTAGCTCCCGGAGCAACGTGGGGAATCTAGAAAAAGTAACGTGGGAGAATAAAAGCGAGCTGACCAAGGACACGCGCCATATGACAGCATTCCTATGAATTAAGAAATACTAAGAAATCCAAACGACCAACCCGTGTGTTGTCATAAATACTTACTTACAGGCATATGATAGTCAGATTTTAGGACGCTCCTCAACGGCCCACTTCCTGGCATTTACTCTTGTGTCCTCCCCTCCCCCACCTACCAATCGGATAGGGCAGAAGGGACACCATGTCACTTCCAACATTAGTTTACACATTGACTGGCTTCTGTCTTAGATGCTTTATTGCCCCCCATCACTCATTCTGGGGTGACCATGGACCCATCTCGGGGACATTCCGACAGGCTAGTCACAAGGTCCATGTGGCGAGAAAGGAGAGGTTCTGGCAACAGCCACATGACTGTGCTTGGGAGGGCACCCTCCAGCCTTCGGATGCTGCAGACTCAGGGGAGACCCTGGACCAAAACCCCCTGGCTAAGGCCCCCTCGACTCCCCGGACAGGCTCGTAAAGTGCTAAACTGGGGACAAGTGAGTCCATAGCAACAGAAAACAACCCAGGGTGCTTGTAACGATGCGGTGAAATTATAAACATGCTGCAACTGTGAGAGGCACATACACCGAGGTCAGGAGAAAGGGTAGTAACTCCTGGGAGCGTGGTGAGGTGGGGCCTTAGCTAGCCTGATCTGTTTTATTTCTATGACAAACGTTTGAAGAAAATAGAATATTAGCATTTCTTAAATCTGAGTGTTCTAGTAAGTGTGTGTGCATAGTACACAATTTTGGGGGATTTTAAGCATTTTCTTTGTTATTTAAATCATGTTATAAATTAAAAATAAACACTTCGAGGCAGGACAAAAGGGCAGGATATCTCTTCCGTTTATCAGGAGCCGCAGACCACTGCGCCTGGCTCCAAACGGCGGCCCCGAGGGAAGCAATTACCTCAATGGCCAACCCGCCAGCACTGAAGTGGAGACACTTCAGTGCATGTCCCCACCGCTGCTAAAAATCGAACGGCTAAGCACCCAGACCTTAAATACATTTTCAAAAAATAGCCACAACAAACTTAAATGAGAGCCCCTGACCAAGAATTCATGGTGAAATTCAGGAAACGTCTCTGCCTGGACACGCTCAGCATTCAACTGTTTCCGACAGCACTTCCCGTAGCAACAGACGGGGCTGACATCTCGGCTGCATTAACTGAAGTGGACGTGTGACCGCTGTTGCCATAGGAGCCTCTCCTTCGATGGTATTTAACGAGAGAACAGGAATCGTGGGGACAATTGCTTTGGTTCCTAGATTCTCTGGGTTAAAAGGTGTCCACAGTTGGGAGCTCTGGTGTTTCTGGTTACACAGCCCCAGCCAACACACAGAGAGGTGTCCCCCTCGGCGAAAAGCACACGGGCTGAAAGAGGCCATGCCCGCCAGGAGGGTTCCACTTACTCATGGCCCAGAGTAAAAAATGACAAGTCCCGCTATGGACATTGGGGTGCATAGGTTCTTTTGGATTGGTGTTTCAGGGTTCTTAGGATATAATACCAGCAGTGGAATTGCTGGATCAAAACAGCAGATCCATTTTTAGTTTTCTGAGGAAGTTTCATACTGTTTTCCATGGTGGCTGTACCAGTCTGCAGTCCCACCAGCAGTGCACTAAGGTCCCCTTTTCTCCACAACCTCTCCAACACTTGTTGTTTGTTGCTTTGTTTATGATGGCCATTCTGTCTGGTGTGAAGTGGTATCTCATTGTGGTTTTAATTCACATCTCTCTGATAGCTAGGGATATTGAGCATCTTTTCATGTGTCTCTGGATCCTCTGTATGTCCTCCTTGGAGAAGTGTCTGTTCAAGTCCTCACAATTTACAATAGCCAAGTGCTGGAAGCAACCTAGGTGCCCATCAGTAAATGAATGGATCAAAAAACTATGGCACATTTACACAATGGGATTCTATGCAGCAGAAAAAAAGAAGGAGCTCCTACCCTTTGTGACAGCACGGATGCAACTGGAAAGCATCATGCTAAGCGAAATAAGCCAGGTGGTGAAAAGACAAATACCATATGATCTCACCTTTAACAGGAACCTAAACAACAAAACAAACAAACGAGCAAAATATAGCCAAAGACACTGAAATAGAGAACAGGCTGACAGTGACCAGAAGGGAGAGGGGAGGGAATTTCAGGAGAGAATGGGAAGGGTTTACAGGAACAAGTATAAAGGACACATGGACAAAAACTGGGGAGGGTTGGGGGGTGGGTTGGGATGGGAGTAAAGGACAGAAGACTGTACTTGAACAATGACTAAAATAAAATTAGAGAAGAAAAAAGAAAAAAAACTGCACTGACATTTCAGAAGGTACATCACAACATTGCAAATATGTACGTGGATTGGGCAACTTTATTTACATAGAATAGGAACCGGCCTAAGATTCCAGGTGTAATTTTCCCTTTCCATATTTCTCTTCTGTTCTCCAAATCACTCAACTCTGCAGGAATGAGCGCGATCAAACAAGAAAACGAAGCCCCACTTACCTGCTGTGTTTCCCGGACTCCCATTTTAAGACCACAATGCAGGGAGTAAAGGCTGAAATCCCTCCCTCCCGAATAAATCGGCCGTGACTGGCACCTGGCCCGCACACCACCCCTCCCCTAAGCTCTGGTGGGTGCAGGATCAGAGTGAAGGTCTGGTCCGTAGGTGAGCGTTCCTGCCCGGCCTGCAACTACCGTATTTTGCTGTATATAACATGCACCCACTTTTCTGGCCCAAACTTTCAGGAATAAACTCTTTTGTTTTCATTCAATTATTTATTTATTTATTTATTTATAGATACTTTTTTGTATTATAAAGGAATTTTAGCATTTATTTTTGAACATGTTATGGTATAAGAAATTTTATGTAACCAACAATTACAAAACACTAGAACAGATACAAGGTATTTCAGGTACTGCCCATGTATAGTGTGCATCCTTATTTTCCCCTCAGAAATGTGGGCAGAAAGTGCGCATTTTACACAGCAAAATATGGCATATCTCAGGTTTAAGGCTTTCTTTCCCCAAGTTCCTCTTTCCTTTCCTTCAGGACATGGTGATCTCGTATTTCACTATCAACCCCAATTTTTTTCTTTTCCATTTCCTGGGCATTAGCTCTTTTCCCTATCTCACAATTGCTTAGTTGTTCCAGCCCTTGGCATGTGAGGAGTACGCAACTTAGGATTTCCTTCAGTGCCTGACCTTGACCTACGCACCAGACATCTTCAGTGCTCTGACACCCCCTGGCGCACACACTTTCTCCCCGCGTCTCCCTCGTCCCATCTCTGACTGGCATTTTCCTTGGTAGCCCGACTGTTGGTCAGAAGTACCCGATCCTCCCACCAAACCGTGGGCAGTGGGGACACTCTCTTCCGAGCTGACCATGAGGCCTGATGCCATTTTCAGGTCCAGGGAGTCTCCCCCTCCTGTCCACTTCGCCGTGCTCTTCCGGTTTCTCCCAAGACCTGGCCTGGACTCCAGCCGGGCTCCGCAGGGGAATGCTGCTCTGCCACCCTCGTGCCGTGTTGTCCAAGGGATTCTATCAGCAAACGGGCTCCTTGGTCTCAGTTCGAGAACCAGCACAGACAGGCATTTACTTCTTATCTCATAGATTTCTTTGAGGGGAAAGATATACGCAGCTTATCTATGAACTTTCCTCTTCATCCTTCCATGTCCGCTGCCAAACATTATACCTCATCCCCCAGGCCCCTTGGAGTTCTTTTATTCCTGGGACGAGGCGCCGTTGCAAGTTTAACACGAGAGGGAACGGTGGTGCCAACGCTTACAGAGCATTTGCCATGCACGCCCCTGCCCTCAAGTCCTACACCACAGTCGTACTCGGGTGATCTCACTTTTTCCTCAGTCCTGCAGAGCGCATTTTATCCATAAGACTTCGATTATGGATAACGGGCAGGAGGGAATCAATTCAATGGCAACTGACTGATCGAGAAGTGCTTCCGAGTGAGCGAACTGACTTAAGTACTCTAGTTCTGCCCACTGTCCGAGGCGGGCATCGCTTACCTGCGCAGGGGCTGGCCGCGAAGCCCACCCTCTTCCGAGCTCGGTCGAAGACCACGTAGAAGCCCTCCATCACGGTAGCACCGATCACCAGCGCGTTGGTGGAAGGTGAAATGCCGAATCGGTAGCATTCGTAATTTAGGCCAGCCCCCATCATGGGCTGAATGTAGAGCTGTTTGTGTGAGAGGAAAGAGGAAAGAAGCAAGAAAAAGCACAAGTCAGGCAACATCACAACTGTCATGGTTACAGTGTGTTCGGGACCCTCCAAGGTGCTATGGGGTGCTACGGAGAAAGAGGAAGACACCAGCCCAGCCACTGAGGAGTTGAGGTCATAAGCATGGTGACAAATATTGCTGAAAGTGACAGAAATATGCATGCCATCTGTGACTGTACACGGGTACAACTGTACAAAGGTTTCATCCACCTATCCATCTAGTCATCCATCCATCCATCCACCTGTCCATCTGTCCATCCACTCAACCACTCGCCCACCAGTTATTTATTGGGCAGTTAATATGGCCAAGATGTCGTCCTTGGGATCAGTAACATGAGGATGAATGACGCATGGTCCTGCCCAGTAAAGTCCCCCATCTATGGGGGAGGCAGGTTCTGTGCCAGTAAGTCCACGACACAGCCGCGCCTCCGGCCTCAGAGCGCCCGGTCCGTGTCTCCTCCCTTCCCTGCAGCCCAGACCAGAGCCTTCCGCTGAGGCAGAGCCCGAGTCTGAGCACGTCTCCCGTCTCTGTGGCTGCCACCCAACCCGGATCAGCACTGTCCTCTTCTCTCACAGTCCACTACAAAGGTCCGTAATCGGGCCCAGGATGCCATCTTTCCAAAGTGACGGTGTCACCCTCTATCTGAGGGGCAGCATGACACAGGGAGACAACTTCCTCAGCATGAGAGGAACAAGCCATCACATTCGAGAGGGGACACGGCATCACCAGGCCAGAGGTTCTCACGGTGTGAGGACCTCGCCCTGCATGGCCGGGCACATGCAATAAACACCAGATGTGGCCGTTGAGATCCCCTGGAGGGAGCAGTCTCTGGGGACTTGAGTCAAAACTTACAACACTCAGTGAGCAAATCAATATCGTATCGGTAACGACAATCCCTCTGGTTTTTAGTGGCAAAGTATTAACAGGGAGGCAATGAAGAGAACGGAGCGGCTTAGGAGGACATAATGATGAACATTTGGAAGAAAAGCAATAAAGCACCAAATAGGTGAGAAAGACTTTGCCCTAAAGGACAAAAGCACTAAGAAAAACTTGGAGGAATAAGTCAAGACTCACAGATAGGCGGCCTTGGGCCCGGTGGTGGTGGGAATGTGAGAGGCAGGGAATTTGGAGACCAGTAGCGGTGCGTGCGTGAATGTGTGCGTGTGTGTGTGTGTGTGTGTGTGTGTGTAGGTGAGGGCAGGGGGTGGGGTGGGGGAGCCACCAGGTCTGCTGAAGGTCTGCTGATGGCAGAAGGACAGGAGGCCCAGGAGGAGGCTAACCGGGCAGAGTGCAGGTCGTTAGGGTTGGTAAGCACAAGAACAGTATTTACAGTCTGAACACTAAAGGCTGGAGAAAACGCGTGTGATGAAATGGACGTCTTAGGAAGGCCAGTGCCGCTGCACTTCGTGTGCACAGAAGATTAGAGGGAGAGGAGTCTCAAGGCAGAGACGGAGCAAGGACACGGGGGCGGCTGTGCCTGGAGTCGCCGCCTTCCTGACGTCCAGCAGCTGCTGTGTCCAAGGAACTGCTCTAGCGGTTAGAGCCCTGCACTGGTCGGTTCGCCTGTCCGTAAACCCTTCTCCCAGGCAAACGATCATCCTTCCTGTTCCTCGCTGTGTGCCTGGCGCCTGGGCTCCTAGCATATACGCCGGGCAGATAGGGAGACCTCAATAAATGCGTGTAAAATGAATGCGTGAGCTCAGCTTTGATCGGCCTTCCATGAAATATACAACTTCTCATGAGGATCGATTTAAATTAAAGGGGGGATATGCTTAGCTGCCACAGGAACACACACACACACCTCTATCTTTGAATTCCATAATGAGCCAATTCCATTATGAAACCCACGCAACGACCAGGTATGATGCCACTGGGGCTATTGACGCAGACAGAATTTGTGTCTGTCACTCTGTCCTTTCTGTGCGTCCCCGTCGACTTCCAATAAAAACTCCAGACTGTACATTTGTAACATGTTAGGAAAGTGTCAGCGTTTCTGGATCTCAGAATAAACTGTCTGCCTTGAACTAAAATGAGCTACAAATAGACAAACCAGTGGCATTTTAGATGGAAACTATTTACACGTATAGGGTTATGTGGGGGGAAAAAAGTCAGAATTTGTCTGTGAGCCGGGGATTGGTTTTTTAACAAGCTGAAGAGGATTTAGCTAAGGCATGTTTGGAAAATGGTGTCAGGGACAGACCACGGTTAAGGTCATTGCCTTTGATTCAACTCCCATCAGCCCTAGCGGTCATTTGCCCAGCTATTACTGCCGGTGCCTGAAAGGTCCTGGGTAGGGGCCCCAGTCTAGTACTTTGGTGACGAGGAGCCCTGTGATTGCCCTAAGTGTTAGGGAAGGGGTCAGGTTTGCAGAGCTGAGGTTTTAGATGACACCAGTGCTGTCCTTGTGTCACCAGCAGAGGGCACGTGTGAGGTTCTCATCAGGTGATTGGTCACAGCCTCCCATCTGCCTCCTTCCTAACCAGGCGATGGAGAGCAAACCTGGTGATGTTGCATTAAAAAATATTAATAAATAACAGTGGGGAAAGTTGAACTTTAAAAATCTAACATGTGCCCTGGCTGGCGTAGCTCAGTGGATTGAGCTCGGGCTGCAAACCAAAGCATCGCAGGTTCGATCCTCAGTCTGGGCACATGCCTGGGTTGCAGGCCATGACCCCCAGCAACCACACATTGATGTTTCTCTCTTTCTCTCTCTCTTTCTCTCTCCCTTCCCTCTCTAAAAATAAATAAAATCTTAAATAAATAAATGAAACCCACTTAAAAAGAAGACTGTGTTCACCAGCAGAAATCCTCTTAAAAAAATATCTAACATGTGAACATATCAAAGTCAAACAAAAAGCAAATCCAGTCCGAATAAGTCTGAATAAGACTGAATTCTTACGCAGAGATATGCAAATAGATGCGACCCTTCTAAAGTCACCTCTTACACTCTACAGTCACCCTGTGCTGGTCCTGAAGGCAGCGACAGTCCCCAGTGAAACTTCGCTTTGGATGGCTGTCGGGTGTAAGAGATTTTCCCCCCGAATGCCTGCTTTTTTCACCTGCTTCTTAGGCGTCCCTGACTCTGCCAACCGCCCACATGCCATTTATCTGCCCGGACACGTCCACCTCTGTCCTCCAGCTAGGTTTCCACTTTCGTTCCCACCACACTGATGAAATAATGTGCACATTTGGCGGGCTGGCAGACCCAAATGCAATCACGGAGAGTGCATTATTGTCGAGACTCGGGAAACACATCATTCCGGCTCACTCTTCGCAGTGCCGTTCTCCCAAGGATACGGCCGCCTTCTGCAAATGTCATTGGTGAGGACGGTACTATCGTTTCTCCTTGGCGGTTAGAGAGGCGGACGCAGACAGCACTGCGTGATTTGCTCGGAGCTACAGTGCGAGCCACGGGCAGGGCCGAGGTCCTACGTCCAGCCTCCCGCTCTCTGTGTACGTGTCCTCCGCTGGGCTGTATGTCCATCTTTTCCCCTCCAGGACGGCCCCCACCCCCGATACAAAGTTGCAAAGGGAAAAGGGCAGTATCGTCATTTCCTCGTCTCTTCTGAAATTATTAGTCCTCCTTTCCTAACCCCCACTCCCATCCCTTTATCCCAAATTCACCAGGTTACAACAGGGACGCCCCTGACCCATCCATTTAACCAATTGTTACTGCTGCCGCTCTCCTGCAGGGCAGTGTTAGGGATGACCTTTAAACCTCGTGGCTCTCATCTTCAAGGAAATAATGTAATTCAGAAAGAAATACAAGCGCCTGTGTTTTTCCAGAAAACAGAAGTCAAAGGAAAAAGACAGGAGGGAAACACACCCAAAAACAGGACCCCAGGCCAGATGAGCCGCCTAGAGAACTCATGTTATCAGTCTGAAGAAGGGCAAGCTCACAAACGGGTCATTCTGTTCGGCAGAAATTCAACAGAAGATGGGTTGTCTGAGTCGGGTCTCAGAGGATGGGAAGAATTTGGACACACAGATGGAGTGGGACCAGAGGGCATTTCGGGCCAGGGGCAGCGGGGGTGGGTGGGGGAGGGGGCGGCAGAAGCAGACTGGGAGATGGGAGCGGGCACAGGGACCCGTGAGTGCAGGGCCAGGGGTGCGGCAGGCAACGGCGACAGGCCGGAGAGCAAAGAAGGGTCCAGCGTGGAGGTCACCGCAAGCCACGGCGGGGAAAGCGACTGTCGGCATTTGAATGGTGGGGTGGAAAGTGGTTTCGGCAGGTTAGTTCCAATGCAAAAGCAGAGAGGTGACGTGGGGTGCCTGGAGGGCACTCTGGGGGCTCCTGAAGTGGCAGAGGGGGCACGTGAGTGACACGAGTGACGGGTGACAAGTGACGAGAGCTACAGGAAGGAGAGGAGGAGGACGAGGTGAGAACACGTCGAAGGGACAGAGCTGGATCCATTTCATCAGAGGCTTGGGATGAAGAGAGAGTCAGTGATTTAGGGGATACTGAAAAAAAATGGTGACTTCATCTCTGAGAATCCATGTTTTTCTTTCTTTATAAATTAAGAGGAAAGACCCACATACTGGTGTTGTGGTACGTGCTACAAAAATGCCCTCAACTCTTGACCTCTCCCAGAGCCTCTCCCATGGGGAGGTGGCTTCTACTTCCCCACGCGGGAATCTGAGCTGGCCTTGGCCTCGTGTGGACAGCACTGTGCGGGAGATGGCGGCTAGTTCTGGGCCTACATGCAGGAGCCCCTGAGTTCCTTCTCTCTCAGAACCCGGTCACCACCGCAGGGGTCAGCCGCTGGACGGCAAGAAGACAGCCTAAGTCAGCTCCACTGACTTAGCCATCAGGTATGTGAGGGTCAGACCACTGTGGATGGAGGCCAGCCTGGACCCAGACACCCACAGGTGCGCAAGCCCGCGAGATCAGCAGAACTGCCCAGGGGCAGGGGCAGGAACGAATGCTCACTGATTAAAGCGGCTGCTCTCTCGGGGGTCTGTCCCACAGCACCACTGTATACCTACCCCCTCGCGGATGCGAACGCACACGTGATACCGAGATGCACCTGTTGTGCACGAGGCGCTCTCCTTTGGCAGGTTACGCAGCGGAGAGAGAAAAGCGCCAGCCTGGGCTCCTACCTGAGGCAGGATAGTGATGCGGAAGGATCTGCTGGAGTTCTCGGCTCTCAGGTAGATGGAGATTTTGGGAAAGTAAGACCAAGGTGTGTCGGAATTCGTCCAGCACGCCAGCTGGGATCCGGTCCAGAAACCGTCAGAGAACTTGGGGATCTAGACAAAACAGGATCACGAGAGAAACTAGTCTGGCACGTCGACAGGAAATAGCTCCCGGCTCTCCCCGTCACCCTGCCAGATGCCCACGGGGATAAACAAGGTTTAGTGTGGACCACGAGATGGAGACGCCAGTCCTCTGGAAGAGGAAGGGCGATGGCAGAGTAACAATGATTAAAATTACCGAGGCCCGCAGAGCGCTCCCTGGCATTAGTTACCACTGTAAGCGCTTCGCAGCAACGACTCGAATCCTCGGACACCACCATCAGTGTGGTAAAGTCATCCCTTCTGCTTTACGGGGGAGGGGACCAAAGCACAGAGAGGTGCAGTGACTTGCCTAAGGTAACACAGCAGTTGGCAATGACCCTTTAAAAGGGAGGCCAGGTCCTCAATGTGGCCCTCGAGGACCTTTCCAGCACCACCTTTCCTTTGAATTCCCTGCGCCCAGCAAGCTTCCTCCTGGCACAGAGCCCTCTGTGGGCTCCCCACTCTTCTGGAGCATCTCTCTGCTCCTCCAGATAGATCGCAGCTCAGAAGATGCCTCCTCCGGGAAGCCCTCCCTGACTCGCCCACATAACGCTCCGTTCCACTGGGTGTCCCCTTCCCGTAGCAGTTACAGTTTGATATTTATTGCGATTGGTTAACTTCCGTTTCCTGCAGTAGGATCTGAGCCCTCTAAGGACAGAGGCCTGCTGTCGCCATCTCCTTGGGGTCCTAACACCCAGCCCATCCGAGAGACTCGGGAAAGACTTGCGGGAAATACGAATGCATGTGTGGGAACACAGGCTGTCCATCTGTGCGTCTCATCAGGGCACTGGCAGGGCGGTGGCACCCACGCCCGCCCGCCACTTGCTGGATCTGTAGGGTAATTACACGTTCCAGGCACGCCGTCCTGCCAGGACCCGTGAAGCCTGCCCCGTGCCTGCCGGCTCGCAGAGGGAGGGCTGCGCTGGAGGCTCCTCTTACAGCACAGAGCCCCACTGGTGACCTTGGCTGCAGCCAGAGGAGTCAGATGGGGGCGGAGCTAGGAGAGCACTGACTGGGAGGAAGGGAGGAGTTTGTCCAGGGAGTGTCCCTGGGGTGGAAACACCTGAGCTGATTGTGATTTCGGGGTGAGTGGGTGTTACTGAGGAATGGAGGGGGAGGGAGGGCACAGCAGGGGGCCCGCCCTGCTGAATGACACAGATGACAGCCATGGGGGCTGGTGCTGAGGACAGGGAGGGGCCGGGAGAGAACGGGGGCGCCCTTGTGCGTGTATCAGAGATCCTTCCCCAGAGCCCCGAGCTTTGTGGCACACGGGGGCATGGCTAAGACATCGAAGTGGGATGCGGTTAGGTGGCTCGTTTTTCTGAGTCTGAACTCCAGGGGCGGGGCCGGGCGAGACAGCTGAATTCCGGGGTCCAGACGGGAGGGTGGGGAGCGGCCATGTGGCCGTGGAGGGGAGGGCTTAGGAGAGAGTAAGAGGAGAGGGGCCTAGGTCCCGCCCCAAAACATGGGCCAGCCAAAGAGACCCCTCCCCGCAAGAGGGGCCCAGGGAAGGGGGGAGGGGGAGGCACGGGAGGGAGGGAGTGTGTGAAGGCAGCTGGGGCAGGGAGGCCAGGACGCTGCGGAGGTCAAGCGGGGTGAGGGCGGAGGACGCCCTGCTGTCAGGGGCTGAACCCGGGGTGTCGGGCGCTACACAACCACACCCAGGCGTGGGGCCCTCCCTCCCTCCCTCTGGGGCGACACGGGGAGAGAACAGCCTGTGGTCTCTTCGCCTGTGGAAGGCTGTCCCTCTGGACGCCTCGTGAGCGAGCTGTAACATTCCTCATTCCGGCGTTAATGTCGTGTCCCCTTTTGGAACAGTGAAGCCGCCTTAAAACGTGCATCCTAGGGACGGACCTCTCGCGAGACGGGTTGGAAAGGGACCTCTCGCGAGATGGGTTGGAAAGGGACTTCTCGCGAGACGGGTTGGAAAAGGACCTCTCGCGAGATGGGTTGGAAAGGGGTGGGTGGTGAGCGTTTGTCTGGAGAAGTGGCCGGGTCTGCAGCCAGAGCCCCAGCGTCAGCCCTGGAGCAGGTGCAGCCACAGGTGAAGACGACGACCACACTCGGCGAGGCCCAGGGACTCCCCTGAGGGGTCCAGCTCAGACCTGGATTGGGGGGACCATCGGCCTCCAAAGGGGTCTGTCTGGAAAGCCTCCAGGGGTTTCCAAGCCACGTGGGGGACAGTTTCGGCCTCAGGTCATGGAGCTTTAATGTCAGAAGTCGCCCTACACCAGGGGCGATGCTGCTTCCGCGTTTCGGTGCGGGAATCTCCGCGTTTCGGTGCGGGAATCGCACGGCCTGAACCACAGGGGCGCCGCGGTCGGTCGGGCAGGAAGGGGGCCCAGGTCTCCCCGAGCACAGAACCCCCACCGAGCTAGTTGCAAAGCCCAGACCTGCGAACCACGCCTCTCTCAAGTCCCGCCTCCACTATGCAGTGCCGGGAGCCAGAGCCCAGCATCCGCACCGCTTTTTCTTCTCTGAAGCCAGCCCGGTGCTCCACCAGAAGGAAACCCATGCTGAGAGAGCGGCTTCAAGGGCCCCGCAGATGGAGAGAACAGATACGGTTTTGTGCAGACACGGAGGGACCGAGGCCCCGTGCGCCCCTGCTGAGCTCTCCCCGCCCACGGCAGACAGACCCCCCCCCTCCCCCCAGCTCACTCCTTCCTGACGCAGACACCGGAATCATGGGATCCTTTTCGACCGGGCAGACCCGTTTCGGAATTTCCTTCCTTCCACCTCGTGGTGTTCTTGCAAAGTCAGTCGCTGCCGGGCACGTGGTGCGATGGCCTCGGGGATGCCAGCGCCTGTCAGCCACGGGCCGGTGTCCTCACGGCCGTGAGAAAGGCCCCGTGAGGGGCTTGTGAGAGTCACGTGCAGATGCCTCGAGCCTTTCCTCCGCACGGGCAGCAAAGCACTTGCAGCTCAGAAGGTTCCGTGGGAAGATGCCCGAGTTCACTCTGCGGAGGACACGTCCACTGTTGAGGGAAGTCAGCAGCTTGCTCCACACGTCCAGCGCGGTCTGGCGTGCAGCTGGCCTTCGACATTGAAGGCTCTCACAACTTCAGAGTCATTTTTTTTTCTTGGTTCAGCAGATACTAGGCTGCGCTGGGCTGCTGCCTTGAAGAAGACCCTTCAGTCCCAAAAGCGACTCCGTGTTTGTTCTCATTTATTTCCCCTGCTGCGCTCTTCTTGTTTGCCTGCTGCTCTTCCCATGGCAGATGGAGACTTATTCGATTTGGTCCAGGACAACCACAAGCCCTCTCTCCCTTCCTGTTCCCGCTGTCACCTGTAACAAAGTAACCGCTCCACATTCTCCTGTCAATTGTTCTTTGAACTCAGCCATCCCGATGGGAGAGTGAAATAATCAGCCCGAGTCAGTACAGGAAACTCTCCTTTTTTTGGTGACTTTGCAAGGGTGGCCTCGTGTGGACAGATGTTTCTAAAAACTCCCAAGAAGCTGAGGGAAATGTTTACCATGCATTCAAACAGCAGCAGCACCACCGGGCTTTGCACATGAGATAGAAGCTTCTCTTTACCGAGCATGCGCTGCACCAGGCACTTGACCCCGCCCCTCAGGACGACCCTGCTGAGAACGTGGAGGCTCTCGGAGCTGACACGTGCCAGACGTGAGACTCACTTCCATCTGACCCCCCAAGCTGTGTTCTTCCCCATCCATGCCATTAGGTCCCCTTTGATGCTCTGAACTGGAAAGCTGGGGTCACATTGGGAATACCATCAGCCAGGTCCCCAAAAGGCATACTGTCCTTGACCGTGATTTCATTGGGTCACTGGGCGTGGCCATACGATAATGACTATATGGGCCGACTGGTCCTTGTTTTCCGTGAGTGGCATCCTTTCACAGAATTCAAATCCCCACGCAGCTTGAATGAAGGCCGAAAGCAGTGCGATCTTTGGTTTATTTCTTTAGTTTTAAAGGCCACAAGCATATTGCTGGTTTACTATTTGCTTTAAGGTGGTGTATTACCAAGTGTTTATTTTCTTCGATTCAAAAAATGTGTTGCGCCAACTACGCTATTATGGGATCCAAGTGCTCCCAGGTTAAAACAAAAGCATTTTTCGCTGGGTAACCTCAAAGAAGAAGACTGTGAACTTCGTAAGTAATAGTTAAAAAAACAAACACACAACCCTTCAAAATCCCCCGATGAGACCACTAGAGCGCAGGGTGACACTGCCCAGCGTGAAGCCATGACCTGGGCTCCCCGAGGTCCCTCCGCGTCCGGAGAACTCACCAGAGACGTGCGGGCCACGGCGTCCACCACCGCGCCGAACACCTTCTGGGGCAGGCGCAGCAGCGTGGTGCCGCTGTCCACGATGGCCTTGTCCGCGTTGTACTGGAAGGGGGAGGGGCGGGGGAAGGCACATGAGTGACACAGCAGTGCCACCGCGGCCGTGGCTCCAGCACCCCCTCCCCATCCCTGTGCATCATCTACTTGCTATACAGACATTCAGGCAGCCATGGGACCGCCTTGGTGGCTATGACTCATCTGATCTTCTCAGAACTCGGAAACCAAGGGTCTCTTAGCCCAAAGGTCTTCCGTCACAGACAGAGGAACCGAGGCCAGGGCAGTGACATGACCGACATCAACAGCCCTCCTCACGCAGAGCTGGTCCCTTAGGCAGAGGTGCCCACACTCCCTGGTCAAAGAGGGAGTTCCACGGGCAACGAGGGAAGGCCCGCCTGTCTTCAGAGCTTGCAACGACACATTCAGTGCTATTGTCACAGATCACACAAAGTCAACTCTCTCACGCGGCCGATGGACAAGGAGAACCAGAGCTGCATTCAGGAAGAGAATCACTCACATGCACACATGCACACACACACACACACAGTTTGTATGTTATTTCGGGCCCCTGGAGTCCACCACTGGATTCCTTAATGACAAACATGTGCCTCTTGACAATGAACTCAGATCTGTGGACGTGGCGCTATCCCAGGGGAATGGACCGTCCTCTATCGAGTGTTTGTGGGTCTCTCAGAGGCACCTGTGTGCGTGGGCCTTTGGGGTGCCCTGAGAAGGTGCAGGTGAAAGGGAGGGATGCCCAGGCGGGAGGTGTGAGGTAGGAATACAGGGTCTGGCACAAACAACGCCCCTTTTCCATTCCAAAATCATAAGCATGCAATGCTGTAACGTGACAATGTCACACTCAAGCACACCACATGACAGTTTAGGTGAAATGTTCCAATTAAAACTGTCAACTGTTGCATCTGTACTACCCTACCAACCACCCTCAGGCAGGCGCTACTTCTGCCGGACCCTGCAGAATGACATGCTAGTAGTTCTCCTAAACCACTCTGAAAATGTAGCAAAGGGAGAGACTCCCTCAGGACATCCTGATCCCAATGGCATCATGTGCCCCAAAGAAGCTGAACGGCAGGGAGAGGATGGGAACAGTTTGAGAGACCTGGTCTCACGGCTCTGCACACCTGCCTCCTTTCCGCGAACCACCGTACATCTCCTGAGAGCATAACTTTTCTTCTAGTAAGAATTAGATACTGTGGTGGGGGGCAGCTCTGAATGAAAGACAAAGCTGATGATTTATTTTTGGCTTCACTCGGCTTATTTTTAGTCCCCCTCTGTCCCCTCACACTGGTAAAAACTTATATAGTAATGCATCCTCTTCAACAGAGTTCAGGAAGCATCAGGCCAAGATGGATGCGAGAGGGGCAGCTCCAGATATTTCTGACTCGCTGTTTTATGCTAATTTTCCCTTGAAGCCAAGTGGTGGTAAGAAAACTTTTTTTTTTTTTAGAAAGGGGTCATTGCCCTGGCTGGCGTAGCTCAGTGGATTGAGCGTGGGCTGCGAACCAAAGTGTTGCAGGTTCAATTCCCAGTCAGGGCACATGCCTGGGTTGCAGGCCACGTCCCCCAGCAACCGCACATTGATGTTTCTCTCTCTCTTTCTCCCTCCCTTTCCTCTCTAAAAATAAATAAATAAAATCTTTAAAAAAAAAGAAAGGGGTCATCGATTTCAACTTGTCATACAAAAACGCCCTGTAACTTTGAACATCATGAATCTTTGATGTATCTTGTAACGTAATGTACCTTCTGATTTCACAGTCAGGCCCCAGCTGCAATATTTAGGTGACTCAGGCACACACAGACAGGTAGGCACAAAGAGCTCCCAGGGTGGATACCTCTCTGCAGTCCAGATTAAGGCTCTGGCCTCCGATTTCCAGTTTCAGAATTTCTATTTGATAATACCACTCCTCCTTAATCGGGGTATACCAGATGTCTCCTGTGTACAAACTTGGTTCGATCCCACCCAGGACCTGGGGAGGAAAGGAGTCACAGGGATTAGAGAAAAAAAAGACACAGGCATGTAACATGTTACACAGAGCAGCAGGCACTTGCCAGGTGAGCCTTCATCGGGATCAGCACTTGCACTTCGGTCTGATGTTACAGAACAAATACATGTGCTTGAGCATTCAACAGGGAGCGTCTGGGGGCCACGTATCCAAAGGTCAAGCAGAAGTCTGCCCCAGTCTGATCACGATGCTTCGGCGGTTCTGCTGCTCTCAAGGAAGCACGTGTATCTCCAGTTTTACAATGTGGAGAGTCTGCCCCCAGAGACACGCAGTAAAACTGCTCACCATGCAGACTGACAATCATTCTGCTCCTCAGCAGACAGAGGACGACCTCTTACTCCACGCATTTGCATGGGAAGCAGAGCAAAATGGGGCCTCCTCCACCCACGCTTCATTTGGCAAAACCGTATAACCCTGCTCCGCAGCTCCTCAGCCCCCTCTCCCCTGAAAAGGAGGGCAGACGGGTGTTGAGAACAGAGCTACTGTTAGCAAGTGCAAGTCGCTGAGCCTGCTGCTTCTCACAGTTGGAGAGCAAAGGTGTTGGCTGTGGCCACCCGGAGGGAGGCCCCTCTTGAGCATTCTCCTGTCACCTCCTACTTTAGACATCAGGGTGCAGGTTCCTTGCAGGGTGCAAGGGCTGATGGCCTTGAATGATTCTGTTTCATTAACACACACTTTTGCTGTGTGTGTGTGTGTTTGTTGAGAGAGAGTGAGATAGGGGTCCCTGTCTGTCCAAACTTATGAAATCATAGGTACCCCCTTTGCTCCCCCTCCCCAGAGTAAGCCCCAACCTGCCACCCCCCCACAACTGTTACTCTCTTGCCCCTCCCCCACCCGTCAAAGACAGTTGCCTTTCAAAGGGAAATTTTAAAAAGCTTTCCTGGAATTTGGGGGAAGCCACGAGAATCATCTTTGGCATGGCAGGCAGATTAGGAAGGGTGAAAATATTTCTATCAGTATCCTTAAACAGAAGAGCAAGCCCCAACAATGTGCGAGTTTCGCCTCTTGGAGACTAAGAGATACCCACAAGACTACCTCCGTTGGTACCGGCGCCGGTCCCCGGCCATCCCGCCCCGCACATCTGCATGGAGAACACGTTGGGGATCTTGGCTTGTGCGACGAGGGAGTCGAAGAAGGTCTCCAGAGAGCTTGACGGCTGTAGGGGGACGAGAAGGGACAAGGCTTCATGACTCACAGTCCACGTGGGGACAGCCCAGCGTCGACACCACTTGATACTTAGCTTTTTCATGGCTAAACAATGAGGCTTATGATGAAGTGTCCTCAACAACAATGCAGAAGCCTCCAACAGGACTTCCTACGACCTGGTATGTTTCCTTTCGGGGCGGCTGTGCTGTGAAAACGAGAGCACCTCCGGAAGCTGTTGGGATGCTGTCACATTAGTCATTAGGACAGCCCTGGGCGGCTGGCGTGGGAAGAGGGGGAAGTGGGTTCCCGAGGCAGGTGGCGGATTCTAACTGTGGACATCTCGGAGTGAGGAGGGAAAAGGGCCTCCTGGAGGGGGAGCTGGTATGGACCTCTTTCGGCCACGGTTGTGTAAGAGGCGCCTAGCCCGGGGGACAGTCCATCGCAGCTCCCAGACCATGGCGCACAGCTTAGCTGGGCCAGCTGCCTACTGAACTCCGGTGACAGGGAATCACAGAAGAGGGACAACGCTATCCTCCTCGAGTTGAAAAGCTGCATCATTCCCCATTGCTGTCCTGGACTCTGTGCCTTCCTTACACGTAGCCACGCATTCAGAGGACGCCCCCATTTCTCCAGGACTCACGAGAAAGAGGGGTGGTCTACGGGCAGCTCTGGGGGTGGACCACGGGTACTGGAGGTCATAAGGGAAGGTCACTGACTTGCATTTGGATGTGGGCTTCGACCACTGGGAGATACAAGGGTTAATCACCATGAGCGCTGTTAACGCTTGGAGAAAACTTAACTGCAGTAGCGTGGAGGCCGTGAGCACAGTCAAACCACCAGGGTTAATGGAAGGCTCGGGCATTTATTATCTGTGCCATGATAAAACTGTTACTTGTAATCCTGGGGGCAGGAAGAAGAAGAGAGCCCCGTTATCTAAAAGATACAAATCTTCCCATTTGTCGAGTTCATTGGTACTTTTTCCCCCTCAGTCCCCTGTGGATCTGGAAGAATCAGTACAATCTCTGTGGGTAATCTTGGTCACGGCCCTTTGTTTTTGGGTCCCTGAGGGAGACACCTGGCGTCTCTGGAACGGGTGGGGCCAGGTGCTGACCACTTATGAACTCTTCTTTTGTCCAACTCGGGAGAGGCAGCAGGGTAAACACTGCCTGGAACCGGATCCCGGCTCCGCCACCTGCCAACCCTGTGACTCGTCCCTTTGTTCCCTTACCTGTAAAACGGGATCGTATCAGGCTCCCAGAGCCGCTCTGGGGCTTCAATGGGTCGGTGTCACAGGAAGGGCTCAGCACGGTGCCTGGCACATGCTGAGGGTCTGTGACTGTGCCCAGGACCCCTGCACGGGTTTCGAAGTGCACCGTCTCCATGAGCAGGAGACCCTGACTCGGAGGTGTGTGGTCGGACCCAGGCCTCTGCCGTGGGAGAGAGCCCGTGGGGGGCTCTGACACACGTGCCAGGTGGGCGGCATCTGGGATCGCCTGCGGACCACCGCACACGATGGCCGCCACCCCCTGCTCGCTCCACCTACTTCAGAAGCGCCCCTGGGCCGCCACTGGGACCTACTGCCCCGTCCGCCCCGTGACCAGCCCCGCTTCCTACACAGCCTGTGGCTGTCTCCCAACGCCAAGGACGCGGGGCCGCTTGTTGGCGGTCTTGGAATTCCACACATGAAAGATAAAAGGTCATGTGGGGAGTCTGGACAGGCACCCCGAAGTTCCGACGAGTTTATTCCCGAGGGGAGATTGACATATGATTAATTCCAGATGCTTCCTCCACCGTCTCCCAAATGGTCAGCATAAAAACAGACATACCCACGTCTTTGAGTTTCAAAGTCACAGGAAGGTGATGTGTTTTGCCCAAGGTCACATTGTCGGTGAAAATGTACTTAGGCATTGAGTTATTACCAGTTCTGAGTGTCACATTAAGTTCAGCCTATGGTGCTGGGAAAAGAGGGGGCTCCAGGACCAGCTGGGGCCCCGCAGACAGAGGGGGACATGACCCAGGGGCTCTGGCGGCCCTGGGGGCGGGGGAGGCCCCTGGCCCTCAGTGTGCTCGGTGTGAGAGTGGGGCTCACTGGGCCTTACGGGGTCCGCCTCGTGCAGGCATCTGACGTTCTCCACCTCGAGAAGCCCCAGGGCTGGGGGCTGCCCAGGCCCCCACCTGGCCCACACCGTTTGCTAGGGAACTGGAGCTGGAACCAAAGTTCTGAGGAGGAGAGAGAACAAGCTTTCCCTTGGGGCTCCCCGCGGACCAGTGGGGCTCTGCCGTCACCGGGCTTGGGTTTGGTTTCCCCGCTCGGCTCTGGCTCCACGCCGGACCCCGAGCAACAAGGTGTGGTGCCCGATCACAGGCCGGAGGGGCGGCCCCCTTCCGCTTTGCTTGGGTGTCCTGCCCGGAGGCACCCCCAGGGTGCTGCCCGCCTGCCTCTGGCCACGCTTCTGGGTGGAAATTCCCCAGGCGTTCATGAGCCGGTCTCCCCTCTGCATGCTAGCATGGCTTTGCTTGGGTGGGCCCAGTAAAAATACTAGAGACCGTTCAATTCTGTCTTTCCTTGTTCTGTGAAGGCTCCAAACGTCCTCCTGGGCACATTACCCCTTCAAGGGGCCGGCGATCCCTCGGCCAGGTTTTCAAGTGGTCCGCGCTCTGGCGGGGTGGGCATCCCCTTGGAGGAGGTCTCCAGCCATGGGAGGCAGCCTGAGGCTCTCTCAGCCGGCCGGGGCCACCTCCCCTTCCAAGGTCGCAGTGTCTCCCCTGGGCTCCGTCTTCATGCAAATGCATGAACACGTTTGTGTTTTCTTTTAATCCTGCGCTAATCAAAACTCCTGCACAAAACCACGATCAAAGTGATTCCCTTTTTATTAGTACAGTATTTTTGAACTATACAAGTAAAATAGATTAAAAACAAAGACAAAAAAAGGGAACGGTACCAATGCATCTTGCAGGAAGGTTCAAAGAACTGTGCCATGTACTTTTAATTTTAAAATGCTTTGAAATTTTAGTCACGGTGTGACCAGGGCTCTGTTTCAACCCCGTGACTCTAACCGACCACCTCTGACAGCGGGGACCCACGCGTCGGCCCCTCCGCTGACGGGGTTTCAGAACCTCCTCGCTCCACTCAGCCTACTGAGACGCCGGGACCCGTCTTACCTTGGCCAGGGCCGCGTAAGCGAGTCCGAGGATCCCATTCCACTTGATCCCCGGCAGGAAGAAATTGTCCGACTCAAAGATGGTGGCGACGTTGACCAGGAAAGAGCTGTTGAAGCCTTTGGGGATGGTGACCAGGTCCTCCCCCACCAGGCCAGTCCAGCTCCCTTGCGTGTACTTCACGGTGACGTCAAAGCCCTTGGGGCGGTACGTGCTGGACCTGCAGGAAGGCGAGCAAGCATCGCGTTGGGTCTGGGTGTCCCTGTCACGGGAGATGGCCCATCCACTGCCGCCCTAAGCGCACACTCAACGGCAAGCGGTTCCTAATGGTGTTCTGACGACGAAGCTACACTTCCCACCCAACGTAATCGCTGCTGTTTGGGTGACAGTGCTTCTGTGCCCGGTGTAAGGAAATACTGGGGTTGACAAGTGGCCCCTGCGTAGAACGCTTCTCTGTGCACCAGACAACCTGGAGGTCAGGTGCTTTGCTTAACCGTGTTAGCCTGTGAAGGCACCACCGAATTCGGGCACCTGCCTGGTCTGGCTATGTGGGGACCCTGCATCGCTGCTTTGTGACACAGTGGGGGTAGGCTAGTAGCCTAGAACGAGGCACCACCAGCTTGTGCCAGAAGTGGTCTAGGGTTCAGGTTCACACAGACAACCAGTGCAATGAATGAAGATGGAGCTGTGCCCCCCAATGCCTCAGGCCTTCCTCCTCAGGCCCCACATGACCTCCCAGTCTCACGGGTCCCTTCAAGGCTCTCCTCCGATGCCCCAAAGCTGATCAGACTCACAGCAAAATGTGGGGGATGAAGCAAATGGCACGCTTTGACACAAATCACTGTGACACCCTCTACAGCCCCCTGTGCACGGAGCCCTAAGGGTGTGGTTGCTCTAACACAATAAGGGAGCAAGACAAAAACGAAGGGCAGGGCCAGGGAAACAGAGACAGACAGCAGGCAAGTGGACACGTGGAATTCTGGACAGCGAGGAGTGGGAACAGAGCAGGGTGAGGGAGGGCAGCCTGGCTGGACACAGTAAGGAGCCCAGGCAAGATCTCTGGGCAAAAACCTGGGCATTGAAAGCACATTCCTGCAAGGAAAATGATCAGATTCCTAGGAGAAATGGCAAATCTCCAAACAGATCATTCCAGAGTGTTCTTGTTGGCTTGCATTTTTCACTTCACTCTCTTTGAATAGTAAGTCTCTAAACCATAATGTTAACAAGGCTTTTAGTTATGTGCACAAGTGCAGTCTTCTTTGGAAATTTAGTCAGAGACGACAAGAACTTCTTTTTTGGTGCACCTGAGAAGTTTTAAAATGATGGTGTTTAGCTCTGAGTGGTGTGGCTCGGTGGACTGAGTGCTGGCTTGTGAACCAAAAGGTTGCCTGTTTGATTCCCAGTCAGGGCACAGGCCTGGGTTGCAGGCCAGGTCCCCAGTAGGGGGCATGCGAGAGGTAACCACACGTTGATTTTTTTCCCCTCTCTTTCTCCCTCCCCTCTTTCTAAAAGTAAATAAATAAAATCTTTTAAAAAATGAAGGTCTTTAATTCAGTAAACTGCACTTCTGAGGATCTGATCTTTAGCAAACACCCAGGAAGCAGGCAGAGGTTTATGTACAAAGACAGGCATTATGTTTTATTGATCATGGCAAACAGTTCGAAACCACCTCCATGCCCAGGGAAAAGGAAATCGTTTAGTAAATCATCGTACGCCCATATGATTAAAGATTACACAGGTCTAAGACACAGTATTTACTAAGAGACTTTCAATGATGTAAAAAAAAATTAAGGTAACAAATTACACATGGGGCAGAATCTCCTTCAAGACCATTCATCAGACTCAGATATCAGCAGAGGCTGCCCCAGCACCATGCGGTGAGCTTTCTGGGGAGGAAATGCTCCCTCTAGTGGTGAGGCCCTTCCACATTTTCTGCATACAAGACTTGTTTAATTGGTGGGGGAAATTATTTTTATAAAATGTCAGGCAGACATATTTTGGAGAACTTTTATTCATTTTGACTTTGTAATGAAATACAACATGTAAAGAATGTGTAGCTTTACTATTTACTGGGGTAGCTCACGCGCCTTAGAGCGGGAACAGCTTGGAGTGACCGTTTTGGGGGCACATCGCCTGCACAGACAGGAATGTGAGAGTGGGCGGGCCCTGAGACCCCCCAGAAATGACACAGGTAACGTGCAGAGTCCGCTCACGGAGAGGTGGCGCCCGAGGGGTGGGGAGATGACCAGCTCGGTGCCAGTGGGGATGCCGGTGTGCTGGGCAGACAGCCAGGGCTGCCCTCGTTTATGCTGAATAGTCACACGGATAGTCAATTACTGAGTCCCTTTCGGCAATTTGGGGTCATTGCTCAAATTCAGAAATGTACTATTGTTAGCAGGAGATGCTCATTATTTTGAAATGCTCACAGAATGCAATCTGGCACAGGGTCCGCACCCTTTTTCTGTCAAGAGCCAGAAAAGAAATGGTTCCCCTTTTGTGGGTCATGTGACTTCCGTTACAACTGTTCCCGCCCCTCAGCTCTGCAAGGATGATGAGCAAGCAGCCTCTGACAATACGTAAGCAAATGTGCTGGGCTGTGTTCCAATAAAACTTTATTTACAAAACAGATAGCAGGTCTGATGGAGCCTGAGGGCCCTCGCTTGCCAACTCTTGATCTTGAAGACTAGTTATCTTCCCAAAACAGCAGAAAGTACCATGACTTTCTTTGGAGAAGTTGCTTTACTGTTACCATTTCAGGGCTACCAAACACAGTAGAATGTGCTAGTGTTAACGATAAGAGACTGAACATCTATGGAACATGTCTTCTACAGTTTCTGACCAGGTTGCTATTCCCCTCTCGGGGGGAATATTCTGAATATTTGGTTGCCATTTGCAGAGAGACGAGAGGCAGCTGGAGGTACGTTGCTCAGGGCCAACTGCCAGTTCAACCACCTATCAGCTCTGTGACTGCGGGCTGAGTTATCTGACCTCTCCGTGCCCCAGTCTCCTCAACTGAAAGATGGGGCTAATGTAGCACCACACCTCTCGGGGTTAATTCTGAGGATTAAAAGAGTGAATATCGCAAAGCATTTAGAACAAAGCCCTGGCACACGGCAGGCATGCAAAACAGCTGCTGTTATCACAATGATCTAATCACGTGCTACCTTTATTCAATGTCTGAACCAGTAAAAAATGTAAGATTTTTTTCCCCTAGAAAATGCTTCTCTAGTGTTATTCTTACCAAATATCAAAAATCTCATTTTGAACTCTAACTGTCCCCATGGAAAGGGGCAAGTGTATGGGAGAAGACTCGGTAGGGTGGCGGGGGGCAGAGGAGCTTTGCAGGTTTCTTTCTTTCTTTCTTTCCTTCTTTCTCTCTCTCTCTCTCTCCATCTGAGGATATGATCACTGATTTCAGAGAGGGGAAGGGAGAGAGAGGGAGAGGAATATCAATCAGTTGCCTCTCACATGTGCCCCAACCGGGGACTGAACCCACAAACTAGGCATGTGCCCTGAGCGGGAATCGAACCTGCGATCTTCCACTTTACAGGATGCTGCTCCAACCTACTGAGCCACGCCAACCAGGGCACCGTGCAGGTTTTTAAAAGGTAGAGTGGTGGTGCTCCAGACCAGCGCTGCCCAAGAAACATTGCTGTAAGAAACAGACTATATTGATGGCATCCAGTATGGCAGTCAGTCACAGGCGGCTACTGAGCACTTAACATGTGACCATAGAATGACTAAAACACAGAACGTTTATTTAACATTAAATTAAATAGCCACACGTGGCTAATGGCTACCCTTGAGGAAAGCACAGTCCTGGATAATGGGGGGAAAGTAATCCTAAATTCCTATTCCCTGGGATCCTCAAAGTGCACTGCAAAGAGCGAAAGCCCCAGGGATGAACCGTAAGTAGCTCCCAGGTTCATTAACACGCAGTCTCCAGCGCTAAGTTAAAAAGCAAGTGTGTTCCTCCCTCCTCACGTTCTAACCCAGTACTCTTGGCACCGAAAGGCCTTGGCTCTCGATTACCCTGCACATTAATTAACCAAATCAAGAGAGAGAGCCCAGATTGGCTTCTCCTGTGCAGCATCCGTTCCGTGTGCTTAGAAACAGCAATCAATCAAGGATGTGCGGAGCCAGGAAAAAGTCCACTCACAGCAGTAAAATCGCTTTGGAGCGAATTCAGGAGACGCTCTCCCTCTCCTCGGAGAGGCCAGGGAGTGCGGGATTGGAAAGTGAAATCAACTGCACTGAGGAGCAGAGAGCCCAGCACATTCCACTGTCATAAAAGAACGGGATTGCTCTCAGAGAACACGGGGAGGGCAGGGCGCAAGGGCAGGGCGCAAGGGCTGAGCCTTTGGGTCCGCTCTGCTTCTCCCAAGCCACCCCGACTCCCCCCGCAACCCAGGGGAGGCCCTGAAGAACTCCACTGACACTTTCCTGGGGTGCTTCTGCGCATTTCAGAGGGTCACCTTTGGGGTGGTTGGCCTGCCCCGGGGACCAGATTCCCCTCGGACGCTTACGTGGTTCTGCAAGTGACCAGAATGGTGGGTCGAGATGGCCCAGGAGCTCTCGGTTAACCCACCCAACTTGGTGGTTCCTCAACATCCTCCACCACAGCAAAGGCTGCTGGGGTCCCCTAGGGTGAGCCCCTTCTGGACACACAAACGCTGGCATGCTTGAGCAGTTAGCTAAAGGATCAGGCAAGAATGGCTGTCACTGTCACCTGGATGGACGAGGCCCAGGTCAGCCTCTCTAAGGAGGTCACCAGGTACTTCTCGCATATTCTCATTCCACTTACGGGCATCAGTGGGAGGAAAAGGAATTGCAGCTGCTCTGCGGGCTTCACCCCGGGTGGATACGGGAGGAGAAATGTTAATAGAAATATCCTTAATTTCCTGAATAGATTAGTAGGTCAGAGGTATGAGTATACTGACTCTCTGATCAAACCTGCTGGCTGGCGGCTGTTTTTTTTGGCTAAAAAAGAAGCGCACCTCTCAAAACACACTGTTTTCTTTTTGCTGTATGGTTAATTCGCCGAACGCTCACCACCATGAAGAGCGAGCTTCTGACGGGAACAGGCACCAAAATGACTAATGGCAGCCCAGCATCTCATTCCGCAAATCAAAGAGATCTTGTCAAAGAACCCCAGGCCAGATCTCCAATTACCGGGGAAACGTTTCAGGAAGCCCTACACTCTAACCCCCCGAGTCTGGGGGACTTGAATCGGAGGCTGAAAAAACCCAACCAGAACCCTTGTTATAACTCAGGGAGATCAGAGGGGCAAGCAAACACGGGAACATCACAGCTCAGGGCTGCCTCTCGGAACAGAAGCCTTTGTGAAGACAGAGAAAAGCAGAGAGAACGTTCTCTTGGCTTCCATCCAGTGCCACGGTGGAAAGAGTCCCGTAGGCCAGCTCCAAAGTGACCTGACTGCATCAGACAAATGAATCACAGGTAATTTACACAGAGAATGAATCACGTTCATAGTTCATAGCTTTGCGGTAACAGATGTGTGTTCAGGTAAGCCCGTGAAAGCGAGGGAAACCAGCAAACAGGAGGGGAGAGAAGGTAATGTGGATCCCAGCGTGGGGGCAGGGACGCAGCCGGTGGCACAGCACCCGCCTGCCGTTCAGGGACGCGCCGCCCCGAGCCGGCTCAGCTGAGAAGAACCCCGCGGCCCTGCTGAAGAATGGTTCTCTCTACGAGAAAGGCAGCGTCGGGCACAGAGGCCAAATGAGAGTCATGTTCTGCAGGCACAGAGGAAATCTCATCAATGCTGGCAGAGGAGCAAGTCTGGCTGAAGTCTGGATGATGGGGTGCCAATGGGATGAAACTGACAATGCAGTTTTGGGGGGAAGCTTCCCCGAGGTTCTTTGCTGATCTGGAAAGTCATGTCAGGAACCCATTGTTCTGGGTGCCTGAGTCTATCTCAGCCTGCCCCAGGCACTTCCTGCCTGGGGAGGGATTCACAGCGCCCCCTATGTTGCGTGTCTCTTACTGCAGTCAAATCAGAGTGTTCACATTATGAGGTATGGGTCCCCCTCTATAAATGACCTCCTTTTACTCTCCCCTATATTATTACATTAGGGCAAGCAGAACGACGTACGTAGGTTAAGTTACATTACGCTTGTCCTTCATTTGAGGGCATCGTGAAGAAAGTCCTTGTAGAAACTACCGGCAACGCAAAGGTGACTTTCCAATCAGCTCAGGTCCCAGCATGGACAGTCTCACACTCGCCTCCCCTGTCCCTGCCCAAGCCACCTCCACTTTAGGACCAGAGTGGCCCAATAAGCATCAAAGGGTCATGTGTGCCCCGCAGCTCGGGCGTCTGACTTGCATTTTCCTAAAGCAAAATCTCGTGAGATGTACAGAGGCCAGTAGGATTCCCTATGAATTCCCCTAGAGTGAACACATGCACACATATGCACACACACTACACATATACTAACACATACATACAACCACATGCACACACACATACTACACACATCACAAAACACGTACACACTACACATTATATGCATAACCCCACACACGCACACACTACACACCACAAACATGCATATGCACATACACTACACGTTATACACATAACACACACACACATACATACACACTACACACACCACAAACACATTACACACATACTATATATGTACACATTCAAATGATATACATACACTACACATGTATCACAAACGTACACACATGCACACACACTACACATGCATCCACATACACTACACACACACTCACAAATGTATATGCATACATACAGCTACACACATACACACAACTATACACACAATTTTCTCAAAATGAAACGGGCTTTTGGCCGTTTTGCTCCAGGTGCTTGAAAGAACTGGCGTGGTGCCCCCAGACCCGGCCCCGCCCACCACAGACCCGGCCCCGCCCACCACAGACCCATCCATCACTCACCGCTCCGTGTCAAAGTAGGAGTCTATGTAAGAATGTGGGGCGCCAGCCACGGCGAAGTTGCTGCTCCCGGTGTCAACGAGAATCTGCAGCTTTTATTTTTAAGGGGAAAAGAGAGAAACCATCGGGTTACTTGAACAAGGCCATACTCTTGAATAATTCTTTTAAAAATGAAGTCCCAATAACTTATTACTTGGAAAAACATCAATTAGAAAAAAAATTTAAAAAGCTGTTACAAAGCTGACATCTGAGCACAGTGAATCAAGAAGCTTGCAGTAGGGAGGGGACACTGTTTTGCGCCGATACACGCAAGTTGTTTTCTGTTTGTTACAGAAAACAAACTCCGTGAAGTGACCACCGCGGTTTCCCTGTAAAGCCATCCCTGCGAGCCAGGCAGGGCCCTCTCTGCCCCTGAGCTGCGGTCCAGGCCTGTCACCCGCCCGGGGTCGCCAATTCCCGCCTTTCCATTCTCACTCGGAAACCCTGGTCCAATGGGGCCTCCCCTCCCCTCTGCTGCACAGCACCTGGGGACACCTGTCCCAGGTGTCAGTCTTTAGCTTTAATGAGGCATAACTCACAGCAACAAAAATGCGAGATCTTAGCTCTCCCACTGGTGAGTTCAGTTAGACATGCTGGCACCCAAACCAAGCCATTCTCTCCAAAAGGCCCCTCTATGCCACTTCCGGTCAGGGTCAGCCCCTCCTGTTCGGCAGTGCCCATCCCTTCCCACATCACATGCTGCTTTAATCTCGTCATGTAGGATTTTTATGGAGACCCCATCCCTGGGCATAACTGATTAAATCTTTGTCTACTGGGGATGATTCCTCCGGCCCCTCTCTCCCCCAGGGAGGTGAGGCGGAGGGTGCCCGCCCTCCGACCGGGGGGGCAGGGGCGGGTTCCCAGAGCCAGCTCGTTAGTGCACCCAGGGTGTGGCTGAAAGGGCCCTGTTGTGAACAACAGAAGAGTCCTTTGTCGCTGTAATCACTGGGGAAAGTCCGAAGGCTTCTGGACTTCGGCCAGGAACTGGGCCGAAGACAGAATATACTAAGTCCAGCACAAAGTACGCCCATTTTTATTACAAAATCAAAAACATGCGATTCTGTAATGTAACCATATCTCACTGAAGCACACCATGTGACGTTTGAGGTGACCTGTTCAAACGAAAACTACAAAGTATTACACCCCTGTTATTACCCCACCGACCCCTAAGGTCAAGCAGGCCTTTCTCCCGTCTGACCCTGTGCGTTCCTTCCTATATACTGCAGCGTCCGGCATGGCCCATGAGAACACAGCAAGTGCCCCAGCCTTGTCCAGCATCTGCACAAAGTTCCAAACCCAACCTGTCAAGCACCAAGGCCACTGTCCTAACAGCAGACGTCTGGTCCAAGCGGACATACGCTAACAGACGTAACTCACAGGGCCGTGCGGCAGAATTCCCTCCTGAGCCCGGACTGGTGTGGCTCGGTGGGCTGGGCGCCGGCCCGCAGGGTGAAAGGTGGCCGGTTGGATTCCAGGTCGAGGCACACGCCTGGGTTGCGGGTTTGGTCCCCCGATTGGGGCGCATGTAGGAGACAACAGATCAATGTTTCCCTCCATCTCTTTCTCCCTCTCTCCCCCCTCTCTGAAATATTAATTAATTAATTTTTTAAAAGAGAACTCCTTCCTGAGGCAACTCAGAGAGAATTGCAGGCTTTCCAGAGAAGGGAGTGCTGCTGTCAGTCAAGACACACGGAGCCTCCTGAAAGCAGTGCAGCGAGAAGTGCCCCTTCTCAGCCATAGAACGTCGCAGACCAGAGAATACAGATTCCTGTACCCACACCTCTCCACGCCCGTGCTCCAGGGGGAAAGCGTCCCATCGGTGCCATGGTTTCCTGGGTCTCGCTGGCCGCCACGCAGCCAACGGGCCAGCGGGACGCTGAGCCAAGACCAGGTTGCCCGGCAGCCCGGGCTCCCAGGCTGGCACTCTGCATCCCCACCCCGAGCTCCTGCGCAACTGGGCGTGGTCCACACACACACAGGACCATTGTCCTGGGCATAATGGCTGCAGTGATGGGGAACCGTCTTGGCAGGCGGTTTCGCTCTTCTTTCCAGGGTGTGGAATTCTACCCACAGCCTCTGCACCCTATCAGCACCGAGTCCTTTTCCACACCCCTGCTCTCCTGATTCTGCCGCACATGGCGCGCTGGCTCTTCTCGACAGGAGCGGGGCATACAAACGCACAGAGAGCCACCCCGAACACCGGCTGCACTGTTTCACACAGACGGCTGATCGCCCGGATGTTCTGCACAAACTTCTCGGCTAGCCCAGCAGAAGCCAGCCTCCAAGGAAACTCAGTGCAGAGTCACGGCTAGGCAAAGCGGGTCCCACCTCGCTCGTTCTGTTCCTAGAGCCCGTGATCCGAGGAGACAGACCACCCCGGTAAATGGGGCACCACAAAGTCCGGCAAGGGGTAGACACCCAAGGGAGCAGTCCACACTCCGGCTTGGGCTGCAAGGCATGCTTCTGAGCAGCAAACCAGCCAACGCCTTTTGCAGCTCGATGACGCTGCCAATAAACAGTTCTCCGGTGGGTTTCTCCCCAGGGCCGTGACTTCCTCGTTGCAAGTAGTCTCAACGGAAAAGGAAAGAATAATAAGAATGCCGTTTGCCCTATAATGTCGCAGGATCCGCTGTAAAACGACCGAAACGCAGAGGCTCGGGGTGCAGGTTTGTCTTGGACACCTGACCCCAGGCCACAGGCCAGCAATGCCATCGGCTGCTTCTATTGTCCCGGGAATTTCCAAAGTCACTTCCTGCCTCCGGGTTCAGTGGCACGCACACGACAACCTCACCCCCAAATACACGGCATTCGGCCTGTGAGAGGCACCGAACGTGCACGCAGAGCCTCAAATTCCTGGAATGTTTTGTGCTCTCAAAGCACCGCTGAAAATGACTCAGAAGCGCCGGAGAAGGATATTGTCCGTGCTCCGCAAGGAGGAATGCAGAAATGCATTACTGTTTTTACAGTGTGTTGAGTGACAGGGAAAAGGGCTTCGAAATTAAACTTTTAAAAGGGGAAGCAGTAGAAATGGGGGGAGGGGAGGGGCAATCCAGCAGGGATGAGAGGAAGTGCCCCTGGGCCTTTCCCTAAAACCTGCCTGAGACCCAAGCGGCAAGACGCAGGCGGGTTCAGAACCAAGGGCAGGTGTCGCCCGAGCCAAGTTCTGGTGCACTTCTTCCAAAATGGCAAACATGCCGCCTCCTGCTCCTGCCTTTCCCCGCTCCCACCCGAGCGCCCGCAGGGCCTCTCCCCTCCCAGGTCTCTCCTCTCCACCACCTGCTGAGACGGGACTTCCGCCTCACCGTCCAGTGCCAGCCGAGGTCACTGGCAACCTCTGTGCACCAACACCACCACCACCCCCTCCAGCCTTCTAGCACCCCTGGCCACTGCCGCCCAGCCCCTCCTTGAAGCTTCAAAACCACCACCTTCCCAGTGTCCCCGTACGGCCCTCCCTGCTCAGTCTCTGTGGCCGAGGTCTCCCTCCTCTAGCTGTGCTTTGGAAACACCTTACACGTGTTTCCCCATCCTCAGCCCCTGCTGCATCGTTTTCATTCTAGAATCCAGAGGCCTTCTCCAGAGTCCGTCCCCAGCACGGGGCACCCTCTGTGAGAGCGAGGCCTGTGTGTGGTTGGTTCATCAGTTCCTCTCTGGTACCACGGACAGTGCCCAGGGCTTAGTAGGTGCTCAGCAAACAGTTGTTGAATAAATGGAGGAGACTCAGGGATGGAGAGACTTCCCCTGAGCGGAGACTAAGTGGCAGAAATGTGTGTTCTGAGAAAAAGGAGCGTGTGGATGCATTTATGACAACAAGTCTGCATTGCGCACCTACCGGTCATACACAAAATATTAAGAGGGCAAAAGATTTTAAAACAATCTGTTCTCGAAGACAAGAAAGAAGAAGTATGGAAATTCTCTTACTTCCCCCCAACCCCCACACAAAACCTTCTTTGGCAGTATTCTCCGTTCCCAGCAGTCCTACCCAAAGTTGCACAATGAAATTGTATGAGATAACCACGAAACAGGAAGGACCACTACGCCCACACCCCGTGTGGGTGGGAACGGAGCATGTTCGAAGGCAATCGATTGGGTTTCTTCTCCCACGGCGAGAGCACTGCCTTCATGTCAACGGGGCTCTTCGCTGTGCCGAGCTGCATCGGGCACACAGGGCCTGGGGCCAGCGCCCCTCCGCCACTCAGGGGTCTGGGCAGCTGCTTCTCCTGCCTGCGACTCTCTGCTCCCCCATCGAGGGAGGGGGTGCTCGGCCACGCTCACGGGGCCCTTGTGAGGAGCACACACAGTCACGTGGGTTCACTGCAGGCTCTCGGCCGGCGAGCAAGAGCTGCTAGTGGTGCGTATGTGCCCAGTTCTCAGCAGCGGGCGGGACGACTGAGGTCAGGCATCGGTGGCCTTGGGGACAAACTCCACGCCACCCCAAGGAACCTCTGCCCGCGGGCTGGCCCCAGAGGGAGCTGAGGCCAGCAGCTCCTGCAGGAACGCTCTTGGGGACGAGGAGGACCTGTTCACCATGCCTTGCTCTGCCCAGACACAGCTCATTCACTTTTAAACTGAAGCATCCTCTGGGGGCTTTATTTTCCTCGCTTTGTTCTGACGCATTTTGTCACCCTTGGTGACATCTTGCGTTGCCTTCGAATTTCTTCCCTCTGTCTATCTTTTCTCTCCACGACCTCCTACGTTGTTTGAGGACAGCCGTCTTTCCTTGTCTCTTTTGGATGGTCCCCAGAGCGAGGACAAGAGGGACCCGCTCAGCCCTGTTCCCAAGATGGGGAGGAAGAGCCTGGGAGCTCCCAGCGGCAGCAGAGGGAGGGCAGCTGAGAGGCCGAACATGCAGAAAGGCTGAGAGAAGCCAGAGAGAATTCACCAGGCCAACCTCACTATACATGTGTGCAAACAGTTTATTTAGATTTTTTTTTAGGACGGCTTAGGATGCACTACCCTCATCAATGCCCCACCTGCTCTGTAAAGTAAACACACACCACCTGTTAGACATCCAGGGATAACCGAAGTTAGGAGCGAGAAGACAGGAGAGGCTGAG